GTGCCAACTGTTGGTGACCCCATAGTGCAATGTTTGGCCAAGAGTCTATACAATATGATTTCGGAAAATATACATCCCTAAAATATGCAACTGTGTTTACTGCAATTTGCATGATAACTGCCACAGGAGAAGAATTCAAAAGCATGTCAACAAGGAGGACAGAATTACAATTTACAATTGTAAAACCACTGACCCTGCGATGGACTGGCGACCTGTCCAGGGTGTCCCCTGCCTTCGCCCTAAGTCGGCTGGGATAGGCTCCAGCCCCCCCACGACCCTACTGAGGATTAAGCGGTGTATAGAATATGGATGGATGGCTGGAAAACCACTGACAAAACAGATTAAACCCTGGGTCAAACATACTGCAAAATATACGAGGTGTAGCTATAAAATAATTAGACTTGGCTTATGTCCATTGAGCCACAGCCTGCCTACACTGATCAATGGACAACACATTAAAATTTCAATCAGCTCCAATTAAGCAAAACTGAGTTACAGAAGGCCTGCACTCAGTAGCTCAGTGGTTAGCATCATTACCTCGCAGCAAGAAGGTNGTAGCTCGTCCAGCTTGTTGTGGAGGGAGCGGATGTTGGAGAGCAGGAGGACAGTCCTGCTGGTCTGGAGGGGTTAGCTGTCAGCCTTGCATGGATCCCGGCTCTCTTCCTCCTCCTTCGTTTATGTTGGTACCGCTTCCTTCTCTCTCGGATAACTGCTGATCGGACTCCGTGTTGGTGTAGTATATCGAAATCACAACTGAGCGCCACAGTTCTAGCAACGTTCATTGCCCTGATGCTCAGCAAAGTCTCTGTAAGTTTTGTAGAACAAACATCTGGGATAAACAAGACACTCAAAACGTTCACTCTCGCTGTCTCCTGAAGGGGCCGCTGTGTCTATGTGCGCCGCCATCTCTATGGAAACGAAGGCACTAATGTGAAACAATCATCGGTTTTTCACATCGTCTAAATTTGTTCATCGGACCAATATGATATATGGGGGGAAAAAAACAAAACAATATCAGCCAATACCGATGCGGTCGCCGATATATTGTGCATTCCTAGTAGTCTGTAGTTTCTTTAATTCTTTAGGAGAATAAACTAATAAACTGAATGTCTTTGGGTTGTTGACAAAACAAGACATATGTGGACATCAGCTTTAGCTTTAAGAAACTCTGATTGACATTTCTCGCCATGTTCTGAGATTTTACAAACCAAAGGACAAATAAAACGATCCAGAAAATAATCAACATATTCAACAATAAAAATAATGGACTTGAATTGCCAACACTTCAATCACAATGTAGGTGCTACAGTTACTTTTTGTAAAGTGGGAAATGGCATTAAATGAGCTAAAACACAATTTTTTTAAAGCTGCAATACTTACAGAGAGGCACAATTTGGTCACAAGCTTTGTCAAAGAACCCATAAATGTAATTAATGCAAATAGAAATAGACACATTTGCACATGTTTTACATATGTGCAAAAATACTAAATTACAGAGAGAAGTGAAAGATTATGTGGTTACATTGATTTGATATGACATGGAACTATCACAACTTCTGTGTATTTTGGCGGCTGAAATGGACACTGCATGTAACAAGTGCTATACTTTTTGAAATACTGCTATACATAGCTATAATCACAATAACTGAACTGGACTAAAACAATCCTCTTTAGACTCAATGTGAATATACTGAGTGACTTTAAAATATGCCCCAAAGTTTAGAAAAATCTACTTGGCTGTGGTAAAAGAAATTAGAATAATTCCATCCTTTTGAACTTTTTATTAGGCAGTAACAGATTGATAACATGACATACGAGATGGGGACTTCCCCTTCCTTTTACCTGTGTGTGTGTTTCCTCAGGGCGACAGCGGAGGTCCTCTGGCCTGTGAGGACTCATCTGTATGGAAGCTAGTTGGAGCAACCAGCTGGGGAAGTGGCTGTGCTTTGAGGAACAAGCCAGGCGTTTACACTCGCATCACAAAGTCACTCAGCTGGATCCACAAACATATGGAGGTCAGTATAGGACAATCCGGTCCTGAACTAAGAACCATTTAGCCTTTGGAGGACTTGCAACAAGCACAGAATCCAAAATCCAAAAGACAAGATTTAAAGAGGGAGTACACAAAATGTAGTAAAAGTGCCAACACTGCACTGTAAAAAGTACAAATAGTTACAAGTAGACGAAAACATTTAGGAGGATAGTTAAGGTCGCTCTCCTGGCATCAATTAAAACCCTTAAAACCCATCTCTAATAATCAAAGTTAAATATTTAATATGTCTATCACCAACCAAGCCCCACCCCTTTGCCAACTGCAACTCTGTTCATACATTGTAAACACATTTAATATATGAACTGATTTTCCATA